ATAATAAAAAAATCATACCTTCTAAGAGAGGAAAGACAGGTGATACATCAGCAAGAAATAAGATCATTTCATTTTGTGGTAAACACTTTAAAGGAGTTAAAAAAAAAATTAGGGCAGATACATAGAGGAAAGCTGATTGTGAAGTCCTCTCTCACATCTGGGATTACAGGTTCTGTGTGTGTAATGTCTGGTAGTGTCTATACAGTTGCAAGGAATAAGTGGTTATTTTGATCAAAACCAATATTAATTACAGTTTGTTTGCTTAAACAAGCCACTTTTGCATAATGAAAGGACGGACCTCAACCGCCTCCTGTCTTTATTCCAAATTTCTGGTTGGGCTTGGTGTATATACTTGCCGGGGGGGGGGGGGCATTTCCTCTTTGTGAGGAAGGAAACAGTTTGTTTGGAAAGCAGATATATTTACCACACCCAAACATCATTCCTGAAAGGCTGTTAATGTGTTTGCTTGATAAAGTGGAAAAAGAGGTGCTTTTAGAAACCTGTCCTTCATCCTCATGTTATCTTGATTCGTGTGAAGAACTTACATTAATTCAACTTTATCATTAAAGGAAAGGAAATAGATTGGAACTTGAGTAAATGGGAATGGAATAATCAATAGAATTTTAGTAAAATTAATGGGAAATAATGATATAATAGATTTGAAAGCCTTTTAAAAAATCCATTGAGGATAATGAAGGTGATACAGGAAGGCTGTCCACTCGTTCTATTACTGTGTTATGTTGGCCTCCTCGCGGTTGCCCTGAAGATGCTTTTGTTACACATCAGGTTGCAAGCCTTGCTCAGTCCATGGGAAGGATTCCTGAAAGAACTGGAAAATAAAAAAGCAGGAGAATCAGAGAATCCTGTAACTGTCAAGTCATGTAACCCATCGCCGTCACTCAGCAATACCTTCAAATATCAGAGAAAATAGGTCTTCTCTTCATTGAGATCTCCAGGGAAGGAAATTTTGTTTGGCCCCTCAGTAAATATTTCTTAAATGTTTCCTTTTCTTGAGATTAATCTGTCTTCTCTGACTTTCCTCTGTATCTTCATGACAGGTAGTTACTGTTCACTTTGTACTTAGACCAACCTGGGTGGCTCAGCCAGTTAAGCATCCTACTCTTGATTTCGGCTCGGGTCGTGATCTCAGGGTCGTGGGCTTGAGCCCAACGTTGAGCCCCGTGCTCAGTGGGGAGTCTACTTGAGATTCTCTCTCTCTCTCTCTGCCCCTCGCCCCCTGCTCATGCTCTCTCTTGATCTCTCTCTAATAAATAAATAAAATCATTAAAAAAAAGTCTCCTTCGCTAGCCTTTGCAACTGAACCTGCTTTCTCTTGGGAAGTAAGGTGGGGAAAGTTTAAGTTTCAAAATTTTTTTCCTGGGGCCTTTTCTTAGGCTCATCACTGAGAAGATTCTGAATTCATAATACATGATATTTGGCCTTCTTGGTTTCTTATCAGCTCCCAAGAGTATACGTGTGGATAACCACAGAGAAATTCTTAATTCTTGGGGTTTTCCACCAGTGCAGCTCTCGCCCACCTCCCCCTGCCCCGTGTCTGCCCACGGCGGCGGCACTGAAAGCTTACGGCGCACATCTGTTGTGTGGTCAGTACCTGGCTTTTGAGGGACTTTTCCTTCCGAGCAACTCCCACATTCAGTACTAACCACAGAGTTTCATAATTCTTTCATTGTTGTGTTGTAATACAGCCTTCAGACCAAGGTGGCAATGACATTAATGTATTTTTTTTTCCCTGCTCCATTTCACAGTGGATTTGAGGCATTGGTGGAAACCCTGATGTAGGACTAAGTTAAAAATGGTTGATAATCACTGTCATCTCATTTTGTGTTTTAGGATTTTTGCTTTTTTTTTTAATAAACAATACAGTACATGGTACAAAAAAAATGTTTTTTATGCGCAAGGGTCCATAGTAAAAGGCTCTTACCCCACCCTCCCCCCTTGCACACCCAGTCTCTGTCCCTGCTGAGAAGCAGTACTAGCTTATATGCTTATATGCTTTCAGCAATAATTTAAACATAAACCCATTTTTTTAAGTTTTTTTACTTTATTTAAATAATCTCAGCACCCAGCATGGGGCTTGTATGGACAACTCCAGGATCAAGAGTCATATGCTCCACCCACTGAGCCAGCCAGGTGTCCCTATTCTTTTTATATGAAACTTTGTATGCTATGAATACTGTTACACATAGCTTTTATCACATAACAATCTATCTTGGAGATATTTCCGAAGTTTGATGTAAAGAACTTTCTCATTTTTTGGCTATTGTTTAGAACTTCCATAATTTATTTAACTATTTCCCTGTTGACAAGCACTAAGCTTTGCCTCAGTATAACAGTCCTAGGAGCACCACTGGGTGGTTCAGTTGGTTAAGTGTCCGACTCTTGATTTTGGCTCAGGTTGTGATCTCAGGGTTGTGGGATCCAGCCCCACGTCGAGCTCCGTGCTCAGTGGGGAGTCTGCTTGAGATTGTCTCTCTCTTCCTCTGCTTCTCCCCCACTCTCGCTCTCTAAAATAAATAAATCTTTAAAAAGAATTTTAAAAAATAAAGTCCTACAGAGAAGAACACCTTGTACTCACATGATTCTGTATTTCCTTCACTCTACAAATACTTACTGAGCACCTACTCTGTGCTAGGCAGTGTTTTAAATTCTGGAAATATGGCAGTGAACATACAGAGCCTGCTCGCGGAGAGCTTGCATTCAAATTGAGGAGCAGCGAACACATGAGGAAACAAGTACATATGTAAATGGTGAGGGATGGTAAATGTTTTGAAGAGAATAATGTAAGGATGTCTACAAACCGAGGGAAGGTAGAGACTGGCCTGACTAGTGGAGGGCAGGCGGGCCCCTGCCTCACTTACCAACATGCACGCAAACTCCTGAGATCCACGGGATAGTGGGATGCAGGAGGCTTGTAGTTCAGGAATGAGCTTGCCGAGGACTCAGAGCAAGATATTACGGCAGCTATTCATCTGTGGCAGAGAGTGAGTCCTGTTAATCTTTATTTTTCCCATCTCATACCCAAGGCCAGTGTTTTTCAACTTTTTCTTTATTATTACCTTTATTATTACTCTTTATTATATGCCCCCACCCCATCCCAAGGAGCGTTTTTAAATATATATTTTTTTAAGATTTTAATTTTAAGTAATCTCTGTACCCAGTGTGGGGCTCGAACTCACAACCTGGAGATCAAGTCACACACTCCACTGACTGAACCAGTCAGGTGCCCTTTAAAGACCTTTTTTTTAACTAATCACTTCCCCCTTGAGGTTTTAATAGAATAGATGTACTCTGTATATCAAGTTTATGTGCTATGGCCCTTTGGAGAACCACAGCCATTATAATATCTAAGATGTTTTTCACCCCACTTCCCAGGAACCAAGGCCCTTGACCTCACAGAATGCAGACTTTGAATCTGTGGCTCTCTCGCTTTTGACACCTGCCAGCCAGGCAGTTTCCCTATGTGGGGTTAGTGCAGTTGCATAGACAAAACTGTTCTGGTATTCAGAATCTCTTTGTCTTTGAAAGAAGAAAGAGAGAGTTGGTGGTTCTTGATCCAGGCCCTCTGGTGGTGTGTGCTCTGGACAACTAACCTTGTGTGTTAATTGGTGGCCGAGGAGGGCAGAGCTAGGATGGCAAGCTTCCGGAAGCCCCAGATGAGAGCAGTAGACAGGAGTTGGCAGAAGGTGTCCCTTCCACTCCACTTGGCTGTATTCTTATTTCTTATTTAACATCCCCTTGGACTTTAAAAATAAACATGTATTCAGCACTTCCTAGGTGTCCGGAGACCCGCTAGCACTTGTCAAGTGTATTAACTCCTTCATAGCACCATCTACAGTGGGTGATCGTGTCCTCGAGTTATAGATGTGGTTCAGAGGATCCTCCTCAAAGCCCCAAGTGTCAGCCCAGGTCCTCCCCACTTTCGCCTTCAGCCTCTGGACAGCACTTGGAATGTCAAGATGTGGTAGAGTCAGTTGCATACCATGATCTCCTCTCTCAAGGCAGGAAGTGTTTTATTCACCTTCACCTAGCCAGCCGCTAGTGTGGTGGGTGTCATAGAACAGGTACGTGGCAAATGATTGATGGAATGGTGGGTGGCTGGCTGGAGTGACAAATGCCTACACTCTTACACAGGAGTCAAATTATTTCCTGAATGAGGGAGCCCACCGACCTCTCCAGCTATAACCTGGTTCTGCAGGACCCTGCCGTCTCGGTTCCACACAGCTAACCCTGATTTCCCCAAAGTGCTAGGAGTCTCCTTGACTCTTCATGACCATCTTTAAATCAGGGAGATGCAGGCCACTGCCTTGGAACAGTGAAAACCCTGCACCTTTGCTCTAGATTGTGCTTCCTGAGTGTCTTGTCTTCTTAATGGATCTGGGCACAGAGAGGGTACAGTGAGTAGGACAGTCGAGGCCCCTGCCCTCATTGAGACTACGTTCTGGTGGGGGACAGAGAGTATACATATAAACAAACCAGGTAATTTCAGATAGTCACAGAGGCCATAGAAGCATATGGAGAGGAGTGGTGCAAGCCAGTTGGGTAGCTCCCTCCTTCCTCTGAGAGAAGCAGTTGAAAAAAAGTCGAATTAAGGTCGACCATGTCATTAGGAGAGCAGTGACAGGTCTATAGATGATTGGAGGAATTGTTCACATAGGTGCACGCATGCTGCCGCGTGGTCATTCAGTGCACGGGTCCCCAGCTCTCTGCCTGCGTGCTGGAGGGGACACTTGTCTTGCCACCCAACCTCGGGGTCTGTGAGCTGGTGCACGAAAGCCCTTACACAGAGCCTGGTGTGTGCAAGATGCTCAGTCAACAGTAGCTGATTTTATTATTCTATATGCGCTTCTCTTTTAACCATCTTCCCTCTTTGCTTTGCTTTCCAGCTCCAGGGTCTGAGCCACAATGTGATCTTCACCTTGGACTCCTTGTTAAAAGGAGACCTGAAAGGAGTCAAAGGGGTAAGTGTTCAGAAATCTGATTTTTACTTTAACTGGAAAGGATTGATTTCTTTTTTTAAGATCATCGTGGTGCTTGTATTTGAAAAGCACTCTGAATATTTTTAGCCTAAAAAAAGTACTTGGAAAATGATCATTGGAAAAGATGTGCCCCTTCAAATCATGTTATTGACTGAAGAGTAAGATGAGGCACTTTCCTGAATATCGGTGAGAGCCTCTGTGGGTGCAGGCAGTCTGCGCTGAGTCTTGGCCACATCAGTGGCGACCCCGGGCCCAGTCTCTCCTGGGTGCCAGGTCCTGCTTCACGGGTGTCCCCGGGAACCTCGCCCTTCGGGCCCGCGCAGGCTTCTCGCAGGTGATGCGTGCTCTGCGGTGCATCAGAGTGTCTGTGTCAGGCTTCATGTGTCCTGTAAAGGAAAGCACTTTTGCTGAGATGTTCTTTCAGAATTATTTATTTGCCTTTAAGCAAAAGTAAATTCAATCTCAGTTTCATTTTCTCTTTCCTAAGGATCTCAAGAAGCCATTTGACAAAGCTTGGAAAGACTATGAGACAAAGTTGTAAGTAGCTTTTTGTTTTTTATAGTCTTGAATTTCTTTAGAAACCATTAACTGGAAGACTCCTCTCTTCTGGACACCAGCTTGTGTAGTAAGGGCTCCTTGTAAGGGCTCAGGGTTTGGCTGTGCTGACCGAAAAGGGGCGACTCATCTCCTGCCTCGGCGTCTGGAGTGAGGTGTGCAGTCACCGCCGAGTGTTGCAGCACTCATGGCTCCTGCTACTAGCTATCAGTCTGTAGATCTGACTGTTGCAACCTTTCTTTAATTATAGTTAGCCCATAACTGTAGACTATTGGCGTTCCCACCTATAATTAGGAAATAACGCCAGGACCTGCACGCAGTGTTCCTGTGTGCGTAACCCCCTCACGGTGGCCTCACTGTCTGTGTCTGGTTCAGGGGACTGGAGCCCGGAGAGGCTGAGGAGTTTGCAAAAGGTCAGAAAGCTGGGTAGGCGATGGTGGGTTGGCCTGCTGGCGTTATTGTGGGAATTATGGAGATGAGGCACGTGAGATGTGTGGTACAGGCCTGGCTCGTCTTCATCTGTATGGATCATACCACCTTCCTTTGTTTTGTTTTGTTTTGTTTTTGTTTTTGTTTTTTAAGATTTTAATTACTTGAGAGAGAGAGAGCACAAGCAGGAGGGGCAGAGGGAGAGGGAGAAGCAGACTCCCCACTGAGCAGGGAGCCCTACACAGGGCTCCATCCCAAGACCCTGAGATCATGACCTGAGCCCAAGGTAGCTGCTTAACTGACTGAGCCACGCAGGCACCCCTCCCTTCCTTCGTTATTATTACTCGGAGACATCTATACTACCAGGAGGTGGAATAGGAGGAGAAATAGATTTTAAAGCACTTAATAAATATCTTGGCTGTGAACTTGGATAGCTATAAACAAGAGAATAAAAGCCATTTCGGTCAACAGCAATAAGAGCAGAGTGAAAACACAAACAAAAAAAAACAAATTCAGGATTAAATTTGTTTTTTTGCCAAACTACTTCTATAAATGTTTATGTGAGCAGTGCATTGCTGGAGACTTGCTGCCTTAGGAATACTTTTATGCATTGACAGTTATAAATGCAGCTGAGAATAAAAAAGTTTCTTAAAATGGTCAGTGATGTAAATGAATACTGTGGGCCATCCTGTCATCCTGTCTTTCTGTATGAATGCTCGTACTTGTGAGCTAATTCCAGCCCTGCTCAGAGGCAGCTGCATGCACTGGGCTGGGGATAGAACTAAGTACATACCAAAGGGGCGGGAGTCCACAAAAGGAAGAAAACCTTTGCTCTAGGCTTGTGGAGTAGATCTCTTTTGTAGGACATGGAAATAACAAAACAAGACACAATATGTGTTCTCTCAACTAAGATACCACCAATATTGGGTGGTATAACCATATTTTTTAACAATCTTTGTGTTAGTGGAAGAGCTTGAAGTACCTGCTGGTCAGTATTATGAATATCATGGAACATAAACTGTTCTCCGACGATCCAGGTGCCCTTCATGGTACTTTTCTCAACTGTATTCGAACGTGTCTGGATGTTCACTAGTCTGTATTGTCCTCCAGCATCTGGCCTCAGTGAGCACAGTGACCACATCATCCTTGTGTTTGGTGCTAATCTCCCAGGGTCTCACAGAGCCTTGGGTACATAGCTAGTGCATAGGGAATAGTTACTGAAAGAATGAAAGAATTATCCACATCTGGAAATGTATACCAAAAATCGTGAGTTCAGTGGGTCCTGATTTTAGGATTTCACTGGAAAGAATTGTATTTTTTTTAAAGACTTTATTTATTTATTTAAGAGAGAGAGAATGAGATAGAGAGCACGAGAGGGAAGAGGGTCAGAGGGAGAAGCAGACTCCCCGCTGAGCAGGGAGCCCGACGCGGGACTCGATCCCGGGACTCCAGGATCATGATCTGAGCCGAAGGCCGTCGTTTAACCAACTGAGCCACCCAGGCGCCCCTGTATTTTTCTTTTTTAATAAATCCCTGGCAACAGGTTATTTTCCAGGGGTGCCTGGGTGGCTCAGTTGGTTAAGCCTTCGGCTCAGGTCATGATCCCGGGGTCCTGGGATCGAGCCCCACATCGGGCTCCCTGCTCAGCGGGAAGCCTGCTTCTCCCTCTCCCACTCCCCCCTGCTTGTGTTCCCTCTCTCGCTGTGTCTCTCTCTGTGAAATAAATAAATAATCTTTTAAAAAAAATTGTTTTCCTAAGATAGGTTTCTTCCTCACTCTGTATAGTGGTAAAGGAAGTAAAAAAGAAAACAACAAATATTTGATTTTTTGATGTGACAGGACTCATTTGATTATGAATTACAGAAAACAAAACAATATACCGAAAAAAAAAAAGAAGTTAATTTATTTGCTGTGAGAACCAAGGGGGCTGGTCTGGGGTCTTTCTTTAGAACCCAGGAGGCAGTGAGCCATCATTGTTGAGACCACAGACTGGGGAATCAGAGACCGTGGGAGGGTCTGGATGGTGCCACTTACCAGTTTTAGGACTTTAGGCCAAGGTACTTAACTTTGATGGTCCTCACCTGTAAAAGAGTAGAAAAATTACCTACTTCTCAAGGCTTCTGTGAGGACAAGATAACATAATATGTTAAAGTAGTTGCCTCTGCTATCTGGCATACAGTTGGCCCTCAATCAGTAGTTTCTAGCAAGTTTTTTAATGATCAAATAATATTTGGTCAAAACGATACCCATGCATCAAACATTAAATAGTCCTTGCATCGGTTGAGACTTACTCTGACTGCATAGAATAGAAGCCCCGCTAACAGTGGTTTCGACGAGAGTTTATCAGAGAACGTACAGCTTCCAGGGCGGACCGGGCACCCATCACAGCGGTCCTTACACGCTGTACAGACGTCTGGGCTGCTCCTGATGAGAAGCGGGAGAGGGAGTCTCAAGTAGGCAGTGGGCGTGCTTCTCGTGGAAGGCCCCAGCGGTCCTCGGCCCAGCCTTCCTGCCCCACAGCTTCCTGTCCCGTTCCCCTGCTACCTGCTCCCCGGCTTGTCTGTCTCTGTTCCATGTTGTTCTCTTGCTGCTCCTTCCTGCTTCACCGGATGTGCTGCTGCAGCAGATGAGGGCTCAGCTCTCACACACAACCACCCCCATCACCCTGTTCATTCAGTGTTTGAACTTCTGTGAGTGCAGATGTTCGGTGCCCGCCAAATGGTGTTTTATAATGGATTTCCGTTCTTACAGCACCATTTTTTGCTTTTCCTTAATGAAATAATTGCCTAATTTCTTCATTAGTTGGTTCTATTTGAAAATTCTGTGAACTTTTGTTATCTGTTCCAACCAATATGCAACACCTATTAATAATGTTTCTGTTTAGAAAATACACTCTCTTGGGGCGCCTGGGTGGCTCAGTCAGTTAAGCGGCTGCCTTCGGCTCAGGTCATGATCCTGGGGTCCTGGGATCGAGCCCCGCATCAGGCTCCCTGCTCAGCAGAGAGCCTGCTTCTCCCTCTCTGCCTGCCTCTCTGCTTACTTGTGTTCTCTCTCTACCTGTCAAATAAATAAAATAAAATCTTTAAAAAAAAAAAAAAGAAAATACACTCTACATGTTGTAACAATGATTATATATGGATTATCATTAGGTTCTCTGGCAGTCCCTTCTTTTCTTCCTGGAGAATTCTTGCAGAGCTCTTTAGATCCACAGCTGTCGTCCTGGGCTGCCCCTCCGTGGGGGCTCTCCTGCCTCCTCTTCCCTGGCGTAGTCCCATACTTGACTGGCACACTACCTCCAGTCGTTTCCAGGGAACAGCTCTAAAGGAGGGAAATTTTTCAGATTTTGGCATGTCCAGGAATATCTTCATTTTGCCATCACACAGAATGAGAGTTTGGCTGAATGTAAAATCTGAATTTTATAACCGTATTCACTTGAACTGTTGACAGCATTTCTCCACTGTTTTCTTATTTCCAGTGTTTGCTAATGAAAAAAATCCGATGCATCTTTGATTCCCATTTCTCTGTGTGGGGCATGTGGGGTTTGGGGAAGGAGGTTCATTTATTTTCAGTGAGAAAATGTCAGTCTTCTGGGGCACCTGGGTGGCTCAGTCGGTTAAGCATCCGACTCGGTTTCAGCTCAGGTCATGATCTCAGGGTTGTGGGATCAAGCCCACATCAGGCTCCATGGTCAGCGGGGTGTCTGCTTGAAGATTCTCCCTCTCCCTCTGCCCCTTCCTCTGCTCACTCCCTCTCTCTCTCTCTCTCTCTCTCTCTCTCTCTCAAATAAATCTTTAAACAGAAAAGAAGATGTTACTCTTTTTTTTTTTTTTTTTTCAAAGGTTCTCCAAAGTTTCTTCATGTGCCATGGTGCGTGCATTGACCTCTTCTTTGCAATTTTTAGTTCTTCAGCTCTGGAAATGTTTCTTGTCCTTCCTCCCGCCTGTTTGTTTGTTTTCCTGAAGTGCCTCACCGTATAGTGCTGGACTCCCCAGGTGGTTCTTACAGTTTTCCTCTCTTTTCTGTCCTGTTTGTCTGTTATGTTTTAGGTTATTTTCAACCTTTTATTCCCACTATTGCACTTGACTTTTTTATTTGGCTGTCATATTTTCAATTTCCAAAGCCCTTTTTCTCAGTTAGTTGGGAGGTTTTGGTGGTCTTTTTATAGTTTCTTGTTGTTTCGTAGATGCAGTATTTTAGCTCTCTGAGGATTTGATTATATTTTATGAAATATTTTTTTTCTTACTGCCTCTGGTTACCTCACCACCACCCCCAACTTGTTATTTGGATCTCTTGCTTTCATGTTGGAGGCTTTCCTCAATTATCTTATCATCTTTCACTGCCCATTCATATTTGAGAGCAAAGTACCCAAAAGTTGATGGAAAGCTCACACATGTCAGCAGGGTCTGTCAAGAATGCAGTGAGCTGCCTTTTTAGGTTTTAGGATGTCAAGACAGCTTTTCTTCTTCTTCTTCTTCTTCTTCTTCTTCTTTTTTTTTTTTTTTGAGAGAGAAAGAGTATGGGGGGGGACAGAGGGAGAGAGAGAACCCCCCCCCCCCCCCCGAGCAGACTCCCTGCTGAGTTCATAGCCTGACCCGGGGCTCGATCCCAGGACTCTGAGATCACAACCTGAGTCAAAATCAAGAGTCAGATACCCAACCAACTGAGATGCCCAGGTGCCCCAAGACAGCTTTTTTATCAGGAGCATTCTAAATGTCAATATCCAGAGGTGTGTCTTCTGGCACTGGCCAGCCCCCTCAGCCCCCTGTCTGTGATCATATGTAATGGCATCTGGATGTAACAAAGGCCAGGGAGGCAGGGAGCCCTATTGTTCGGGGTACGCACTTTCTCTTTTTCTCTGTGTAGACCTGCTCTTCCAAATATTTGCTGAATTCTCTCATCCGTTTTTGTCTTCAGTTCTTGTCTTTGGGAGATTATATTGTTTATGAGTTTTGTATCATTTTAATGGGATTATGGAAGGAAGAAGAAATGAAGACGCGGTCAAGTCACCACATTAACCCAGAAGTCTACTGCTATTAAGTTATGCCTGCTCCTCACATTTCTTCTCAGATGTCTTTAGCTTTCTGCTTCTCTCCCATCCACACCAGTGGAGAGAGCTGAGGCTTATTCTCTATCTGCTTTCACACCTACTTGATGGCCAACGTGGCATGATAAGATATGGCATTATGGTGTTAGAGGAATCCCAACCACATTTATAGTAGATTTTCCAATGGGTTGATTTTCTACCGTGTTTGTATATAGACAAGGATATTGGCTTTCTTTGGGGTTTGATTCCCCACCACTACAATTTAAAAGAAGACTTGAAGGCTAAGTGAGTTTATCTTTGCATTCACAATTGAAATTCACTCTTTTTGAAATTGGAAGTTTGTTTTCAAGTTAGATGGACTTTCAGAAAGAGGGTGGTGACCATTGGTGTTACTGCCAGAGTACCATCTATCATAGCCAAGCATTAGCCTCAGGTTGCGTTGGTTTAATATGGGCCCTTCTTTATAATTGCCTGCTTCCTTCTTGGCCCCCTCCTCACTGAAGAACATTTCATAGGATTCCAGATTATAGATTGGGATTTCTCCCATCCTTATTCTGTACAATCCAATACCAAATGGTTGAATGATTAAAATGTGTTATGGGGATATGGAAATCACCCAGGTCTAGAGGAATATTGGAAATTACCTTTGACTACTTTTTGTGCATGTCCACTGTGCACTTTGATTGTCTTAAAATAATTTTCAGACCCATCATCTGTTGGTAATCAAGATATGCCTCCGGTCTCCCAACTTTCTGATTCTTTTTCATCCTAAAGTCCTTGACCCAAGAAAAAGTCAGCTGTCAAGATTTCTCCATGCCAACCAAATTGTGAGAGAATTTATAAGAATTTATCCATGTGGGGGCACCTGGGTGGCACAGTCGGTTAGGTTAAGCGTCTTACTCTTGGTTTCACCTCAGGTTGTGATCTCAAGGTCATGAGATCGAGCTTTGTGTCGGGCTCCACGCTCAGCGCGGAGACTACTTAGGACTCTCTCTCTCCTCTTCATGCACACACTCTCTCTTTCTCTCTTTCTCCTCTCTAAAATAAATAAATCTTTAAAGAATTCATCCGTGTGTAAGATCAGAGTTAAAATATAAGAGGTTTCCTAGGTGAAAATCTGTACAGTGTGTTCTCTTTGATTCTTTCTTTTGATCAATATTACCAACTTATGTAAGAGTTCCTGCCTCTTACTACGCTCGTAATTAAGAAACAATCAGTGGCTCTTGTTAAAGGAAAGACGTGAATTTTTTTTTTTAATGATGGCATCTGCTTTAATTACAGTACAAAAATTGAGAAGGAGAAAAGAGAGCATGCAAAGCAGCATGGGATGATCCGCACAGAGATCACAGGAGCTGAGATCGCAGAGGAGATGGAGAAGGAACGGCGCCTCTTTCAGCTGCAAATGTGCGAAGTAAGAACAGCTTTTGCAAGCATTTGCCCAGAGTTTCCTTAACTGTGATCTTTCCTGCTAGTCAGGAGTTTTTATGCTTAAATGCAGGCTGTTTGATTATTAGAGGAGGGGACTGTTTCTTAAGGGTTCTCATCTCCATTTTTCTCCAAGCCTTTTGGGATCCGCCATTTCACTGTGGTCTCATATTTTGAGCCTTGGTCCTGTGGGGCTCTTTATGCCAAAACAGGATTCTTTGGTGAGAACTTTAATGTTGCTTGTGAGTGAGTGTGAAAAAAATGTTTGGTGAGGAGTAACACTGGTGAATATGAAGTCTTCCTGGTACAGGTTTAGAGCATGTTTTTTGTTTTTTAACCATGTGTCCAATTTGAATGAAAGCTTAAATAAAGTAGTCATTAAGAAAGGCTGAGTTCATGAAAGAAATGTAATGAAAGCATGCTCCCTTGGACTTAAAGCAGTGGTTCTCAAACTGGGTTCCCAGTGAACACTGGCACTCCCTGACCTGGCGTTCTGCTCATTCTGATGCTAACATTGTGTCATAGAGTTCCTTTTACAGTTCTCCAAAAATACTAAAGTGGATAGAATTTTCTTAATTTTAAATTAAGTTTTTCTTTTTTAAATACTCTTTTCTCCCCCTCATCATACTTTTAGCTTCTTCTCAAACCTATCTGCTCATAAACACTTCTTCATAATAAAACAAGTGAAAAAGAAGCAAACAATATCAACAGAAAATCTTGACCACTAGTAAAAATCAGACCTGGTAGTGTTAGTTAACTGCATAAATTAATAATGGGTTATTTTAATTTTTATTCTTTCGTGGTTTTTTTATCCTTTCGTTCTTGAGTACCAAAAATTCTTTCTAAAAGTTTTGCTATCTGATGGCATATGCCTCAAGAGAATGCTATTTTACTTGTTTTCTGCAAAGAACAGTCAACCATCTTTCAGGTTTTGACCATGTGAACTCTTAAGTTTGAGATCCACTGCACCAGGGGGAAATAATGAGTTATTCTAGAATGTTTTG